AAATGATGATGATGATGATGAGAGATGAAGGAAAACTTGTTTCTTCTACATCAACCCTCCCCTGGCCTTAAAGATTTTACCGATATTATTCAAATTTCTAATTAGAAAGTCACGTTAATAAAACACAAACGATAATTATAATAAATAAAATAAGTATAGAAGAAATGAATTAATGAAAATTAAACAAAAAAATTGAACATAAACTAAGAATAAAAATAAGATTTATCATAAATCTTTAGCTATGATTAATAAAATGTTGCAATATTTTCTAATAGAACAACGGTGAGTTACAAATGAAATAATTACAAATATAAATGAACAAAATATACGTGAATAAAAATGTAAAACACACACAGAAATGCAAACATATATAAATGTGATTTATAAAATAAAAAATTAATCTGAAAAATAAAAATGAACATTGAAGAGATTAAGAATAAAAATTGTATGTACACCGTGAGAAATGGTAACTATGGTAATAAACAAGTAATGCTGTTATATAGAATATGTTTGATCAATAATTCATCGCAGAGAAATTTGTATAACCTTTGAAAAATATTCATTTAAAAAATACAAAAATATGTAAAATAGAAAAAAAATCCTTAAATAAAATTTCATTCTTTACAACATATATTATATATATACAATATATATATATATATATATTGTTGATTGGTTTTACTCAGAGTATTGGATCCGTAAATTAGGCGTGTATTCATGGCATATCGTTTACGTAGTAAGTCACGACACAACTATACAAATACAGGAGGAACATATTTTGCGAAGCCATGAACGATGCGCGTTCACCGCATAACCGGATCAGAAACCATGCAATCGTATCTACTTTTCTACTTACGCTTTAGTTAGGGTGCTTCATTGTACATGCGAACACGATATGCGGGATACCCGCGGACGATTAGAAACTACACATTTCGGATATTTCATCTAATCGTTAACTTTATCTATATTTCATTCGTCCATTTTATTTTTATATATGTATATATATATATATATATATATATATATTATCATATTTATTTTTCGAACATAAACGAATGTTTGTAGCATTCCCTTAAATTAAAAGTTGAACGCAAATGTATCGGTAATTATAATAATATAAATCAATAAATTTTACAAATTCATTTGATGATTCATTTTTTGTATATAAAATATCTAACATAATATTATTTATCATTTTTGTTTGTTTCCAATTGTTTCGTTCTCAACTCTACTGTCAAATAAACTTTCTCTAATTCTATGGAGATTATTGTTTAATAATCTCTCAATATTTATAAGTTCAATTTATTTATTTATGATAAACAAGCGATATAGGAGAATGTAATTAAAATAAAATACAATTAATTAGATAAAAATACAATAATCAAGAAAACAACAAGTCTCATACATATATTACCTAATTAAAAAACAAAATAAATAAAAGATAAGAAGAAGACAATAATAATAATAATAATAATAATAATAAAAAACTCACGTAAGACTATAATTCGATATAAGATTACCGATCAACAACCGATCGATCTATCGATCCAATTTTTTTCTTCTTTTTTTTATTCCTCCTTTCAACTTTATATAGCAAAAGATCGCATTACTCGATCCAGTTTGGTACACGTATACAAACACATACATACACATATGTCTTCCATGCTTACTCTAGCATCAAAGATGCATATATATATATGTGTTTGTATGTGTTTTCTATCTCTCTCTCTCTTTCTATTTGGATTTCTTTGAATCGATGGCACCGATAAACGTCCCATGTATCATCGTGCCTTCGACTAACACAGCAACCATAATTTCCTTCTAGCCACCTGTAAACGATCACGTTGGAATCCGGAGCACACTAGCTTTCTAAAAAGCGTCAAAGCAATGCAGGAAGATCGTTCGAACGATTAAATGAATCAGGATATCGTTTGCTTTTCTTGCTCGTCAAATCAATAATATATATTCGGATAATTGATTAATGATAATTAACTTTAATTTATACTATTATAATAATTCCCTTTTACTCTTGAACGAAGAAAACAAAAAAAAAAAAAGAGTAGAAGTATGATTTACGTTTCAACAAGTTCAAAGATAAATTTATAAATTAAGTGTGTACATGTTTGTTTGTTTGTTTGTTTTTTTGTTATTAATTTTATATATTTTTATTTTGTTATATATTGTACATTTTTCTAATATTAATTTTCATATTTGATTTGATTTATATTAATAGTATATTTATAATATATATTTATATTTCAATATTAATCATTGTGTTCATTAATGCGCATAAATTAATTAATCCCGTTAGTGGTCGATTAATAAGCTTTTCGATCTTTTAACGTTAACCCGTTGACAACGAATTCCCGCTCAAACTGAATCATAAATGGCGAACCAATCCCGTGGTCTAAATGAATAAAAAATGGCGACGAAATGGTGGTCAAACTGAAGAAAAAAATGGCGACCGATTCGAGCTGAAAATTGATTTCATACAAATTTTTATCGTAAACGGTGGTCACGTAGTGTTAAATAAATGAAATATTATCAATCAATACAATCCATTAATCGAGAAATGAATAATTATTAATATAATATCTTAAATATAATATATTTCTCGTATATATACTTTATAGGTTAGCAAATAAATCCGTGAAGTTTTTATCGTACGACATATTTATAAACCTCACGTACTTAATGGCCAATTTAATTAACATTGCCCTATTACATTCTATTCACAAAGATATTTTACATTATAATAATGATCGATAATATTATTATGCAATACCTCGGCACATATAACTAGTACATTATTGTAACAATCTCAGCTATAAAATATTACCGAATATAATCCCTTTGAAACATACTCCGAATAATTTCTAAACTCTACCATAACTCATAATCTAATTTAATCTCAACTTTCACAACGTACATTACAAAACCTCCCCCCTTCCACTTGGAATAATAGCAAAAGTATATTATAAATCATTTCGCGTTATAAAACACGTAACGATAATAATTCGAAAGAAAATAATTTCACGACAAAAACGTTTAACTTCCCTATAAACAATCCTCTTCCCATTTCCTCCCACCCTTTTTTCCATGTAGACAAAAAGACAAAACACAAAATAATAATAATAATAAAAAAAAAAACAAAAAAAGATCAAATTCTATTCTATCTGTCAATTCCTTTCGTTCGTCTTTGGACAACACACCAGCCATACAATTAATTATTGACCCGTTTTAATCGCGTTAGCTCTAATTAGTGCAGTACTGAAAGGGGGAACTTGGTGAGGGGGGGTGGGAGGGGAAGGGGAAAGGAAGGCAAAGAGGGACTGACGCTTGTCTCAAAGTTGTTAATTGAATTGGTTAATGCGATAAAGGAGTCCATACCGGAGTTCTCCGTTCTTTTATACCTTTTCTTTCTTTTTCTTTTTTTTTTTTTTATTATTTATCTCTCTCTTTCTCTTTCTCTCTTTTTTCTTCCCCCCCCCCTTTTGTAGCTCTTCTCCCCACTCCTCCCCTTCTTTCTTTTTCCTCTTCTTCTCAATTCTTTCGAACATACTTTCAAACTACTGGGCAACAAATGATATCAATTATTCCAATTATTTCAATCGTTTCTATCAAAGCATTACCATCGCTAAATGTTAAACATTTAAAAGAAGTGAAACAAAATGGCAGCGTGATTTAACAATGATGTTCGATGTTTCGTTACAATCGTATTTCTATATTCGTTCGAAAATGAATAAATAAACAAATTTAATATATTCAATTTGAATGAATTTTAATTAACATTGTGCACTATAACCGAAATCCGATTAATCGGATTTTTACGAATGAATCTTCAACCATCATACTCATTGCAAATAACTTTTACGAACATTTTACTGGTCCTTTAAAAAAACAAAACAAATAAACGTCGTCGTTCTTAACGTTCCGCTTTTCTTTTTCTTTTTTTTTTTGTAAATTACTTTTAGAAACTATTGTCAAAACCGGATAAACAATAAACGTGAATGGGTGAATGGATGGGAAGGAAACGTGGAGGGTTTCTGTAGTATAATATTAGTGAAGGATCAATTTGAAAGGCAATTTGAAAATCAATCTCGACTCAGCGATGGTAGTTTGGGTGGGAGGAAGTTAAGGGGTGGGAATGGATGGATGGATGGATGGGTTTAGACGTAAAGGTAAAGGTAAATGTAAAAAGTCAAAAATGTTCATGCGGTTATCGGAAATTCAGTGACACAAACCAACTACACGGTTTAAACTAAAACAAACATGAGGCAGGCACACATTATAACACGAGTTAACGCGTCATGGTTCTCGTTAGTTTGGTATCTTTGTTGTTAAACGATGCGATAATAAATATTTCTATGCTCGATAGAGCACCTCATCATCGATAATATCACTATGCCAGGTTGATTATAATCTAAACGGCTCGTACCTATCGAATTTTATTAACGCCGAGATACGCGTGTTCTAGTTCCATGAATGTCAATGGGGGAAAATAAAGTCAATGTGTATCTAGTTATATTCTAGTTTCTATACACATGCATATCACACATACGTGTATATATATATATATATACATTTATATTGATAATGATAATGATAATAATAATAATAATAAACGATAACTATGGGGATTGTTGCACATGAAAATCTTTCATACGTATCGATTATTATTGTTCATTCGTATTAACATAACGCGCATAAATCACGCCTATTTTAATCTAAGATTCTCAATTCAAATTGTTTTAATTCGAATTAATAAATAAATCATTGTGTTAATGAGATTGGTCTTTAAGAAAAATATTATAAAGGGGGATTAATAGTTACGTTTATTTTATAAATCATTTTGTTATTAATTTATTAAATCAATGTTTCATTGAATAAGAAAGAAGATTGTTTTTTTTGGGGGGGGTGAATATTTTTATTGGGGGAGGATTTACACTGGTGGAGGGGTAACTTTGATAATAATAAAAGTACCCCTGTACAAGTATTAACAATATTTTGTTCTTTATAATTATAGGAAAACCCATGTCAACATCCGACCATAATCCTAAAAGATGTCGCACCAACGGATGTTGCATCCCTATTGCGTTTCATGTATCACGGAGAAGTTAACATTGGTCAAGAACAATTGCCAGCTTTTTTGAAGACAGCACAATCCCTTCAAGTTCGAGGGTTAGCTGATGTAAATAGTAGTATTATTACTGCCACAATAACGACACAACCTTCCACGAGTGGTAACAATTGCAGTGCACCTGTAAGTATCGTTTGATTTACCATTTTCTTTTGGTAATAATAGCAATGCATCTGATCTATATGTATTATTCTACGATACTTGATAATTTAAGATTGAGGTTATGTTATATTCAAATAATGTGCTACCAAAAATGATTGTTTCATTTT